AGATAGATAGATAGATAGATAGATAGATAGATAGATAGATAGATAGATAGATAGATAGATGAATCTTAGTTAGAATTCCTATAGCTGTGAAGAGACACCATGACCGTAGTAACTCTGATAAAGGAAAACATTTAATTGGGGCTGGCTTATAGTTCAGAGGTTTAGCCTATTATGGTCATGGTGAGAAGTATGACAGCATAAAGGCAGCCATGCAGCAACTGAAAGTTCTACATCTGAATCAGCAGGCAGTAGGTAGAGAAAGGGACACTAGGCTTAGCTTGAGTTTCTGAAATCTCAAAGTCCACACCTAGTCACACACTTCTTTCTAATATTGGCACATCTCCTAATAGTGACACTCCTTATGAGATTATGGGGGCCATTTTTATTCAAACCACCACAGATAGATAGTATAACAGTATAACAGACAAATGGCAAGGATGTCTTGTGTGGAAACTGACCACTGAAATCACAGAGAATCAGAAGTTTCCTGATAGACTATGTGCAAGCTAGAGAATGACATACTGGTATCATGAATTGTTCTTCATTCCATCACCTGAAAGTCAGTTCCAGAGTCTTAAGGTCAAAGGATCCAAAAGCTCCATATCCTACAGTGAGAAGGTGCATGTCTGGGGTCTATGTGGGAAAGAACACCTGAGCTCTCCACAGGCCAATGCCTGGTGTCTGTGGGAGCAGCCTCAGTCTGTGGATTCCAATGCTGATCTCTTCTAGAAAATTATAGATACATTAGGAGGTAAAACTCCAGTAGAACCCTAAAACCAGTCAAACTGATATAGAAAATTAGTCATCACATGGAAAAATAGAAACATTTTGTTCTTTGAAAGAGCAGTTTTAAAATGATTTAAAACCTGCATACGTATTCATACCTGGACACAGCATCATAGACCTCATCGTTTTAACATGATCAAAGGCTTATTAAATGCTAGAGCAAAAAAATCTGTACAAAATTGGTATGTACAAAAGGAATGGCATTGATAGACAATGAAGAATATGATTGCTGAGGATGGACCTCAGCATAGAATAATAGCCTGACATATGCCAGGTTCTGGGTTTGATCTCTAGTACTGGAATAACAAAGACCACAAACCGTATGAAAAGAGCTGGAAGTATATCATTTTAAATAATTGAGTTGTGGGTTAATGAGATGAGAAGAGCCGGGAGTGACAGGTACTGAGTGGGATGTAGGAGCAATGACATTATAGAGATGTTGCTATAGATATATCTTATTTATCAGAGTATTGCTTTTCTGAACAATGAAAAGAAAGTAAGTCCCTATAAATTAGAGTAAGGAATCACTTGCTGATTTTATTGCTCCCAACCCAGTCTACTTTAAAGATGAAAGAAACTGAAACAATCTAAGCAATTCAGAGAAACGCATGCAGTCAGAGTGGAACTAATCAGATTTCCACAGGGGGCCAGGGAAAAAAGTGAAATAGATTACAAATCAATGTCCTAAAAAAAAAAAAAATGGTCATTGTGAAAGACTTGTTCAGTCAGTTTTGAAATAGGACAAGCTCATGAAGCAAAGCCAAGTTAGACTTCAGTTTTTACTGTGTGTGGTCTGCTGGCTCAGAAATGGTGCAGCAGAAACTCCACTGCTGAGTCAATGTGTCAGGACTTGCGGGAAGACCACTCTGCATCCAGTCACTCACCGCCACTGTGCTTGGCAGGCTGTGATCACCCAGATCATTTTTGTCCTACAGTCACACTCCCTGTGCAGAGAGAACAGTCTGGAAAGTACCTTTTTTATATAGGAAATGGCTTATTAAATTACAGATGTAGCCAAATATGATAATCTTATATTCTCCAAATGGCTTTCTTTGTTTGTCTAGAACTTTTATTAAATAGAAAGTACTGTTTCTGACCCACACTTTTGCCAAAAGATTTCAACTGTATGAAGCTACACTTCAGCGTCTTTATTACAATTTTTAAGAGTTTTCTCCAATGGTTTCCTGTCCAGACTGTTACTGGGGATGGACCTGGGAGGACTTAGACATGAGTATACTCAGAGTGTATGATGGAAAATTCCCAAATAATCAATAGAAATATTATGTTAGAAGAAAGAAGAAAATGATAAATTCTAATCACAGGCTGTCTGAACTTGCTATATATGCATAGATAGGCGTGTTCACACACCATTGTTTTCTATTTTCGGTCTGTACTTACTCCAAAAACAATTGCTTATACACCACACTCAACAAACTTCATTTGAAGTCTTGGATCTTCTGTGGACTCATGGACTTTCCCTAAAGCAAATTGACTATCACCAGGGACAGTTTGATAACTTTTGTTCTACCTTTGCTCTGAATGTCTGAGTCGTGTTGGCCTAGTAGGGAACTATATGTTGTGGTTTCCTGCACATATGCTAACATACTTAGAGGCCAGTTTCTCTAGTTCTTATAACTGTCCCTGACTCTCTTCCCTGATCTCTTCTGACCCGAAAAGGAGTAACTAGGAAAATGGACATAAAAAGAAATGAAAAACAAAAGACTATTAATACTAAGATCCCACAATAGAAAAGAATATAACATTTTGGGAATTTTTTATCATTATTTTATAAAAGATCATTCCAAAAAACACTAAAGAAGAAAACTTAGATGAAAGTAATGGGCATAAATAAAAGAGAATCATGCGATTGCTTTATCTTGCCAAGGATTTTGTCAAAATGACTCATTGTTTCAGACAACTTACAGAAGAAAAGCTTCTCAAATCTTTGTGGAAAACGGGAATCGAACGAGTTTTGTAACTAGTGAAGCCAAGAAAACCCAACAAATTCAAGAAAAATAGAAGCAGGCACTAAATTGACTGGTAGTAAGGGAAATGTCTCAGGAAATAATAAATTATTGGTAGTAAATAAATGTCTCATATATAACTATTTATATATGACAAAATTATATAGTTCAATGAATAAAGCACACATCATTTCTATATTATTTGAAAAATATATTGCCATCTTGATTTCAAAAGAAGTGGCATGCAGCAAACAATTTATATTGAAATGCAAAATGCTCCTTAACTTCTTTTTAAATATGATTAGAAGTTTATATTGTTTAATTTGTTCATTAGGTGATAATATCCCATTTCAAAATAAACTACTTTAAAATCTGAAAGTTTAGGGCCTGAAACAAACACCTCTAGTTTCAGTAACTTGAATGTTATAGTATTTGCTATGCTTTTCACCCATGGTGTCACCCCTAGTTAAATACTACAATAATAAGGGATAGAAAACTGCTCAGAGCAGCTGAGATTCAAGTAGCTGCTTGCTGAATCCTAATTTGTTTTTAATGTTTCCAAGAAAGCATATTGTTCAGTCATGTTCAGCTCCTTGTCTAATTTGCAATGTCAAGTCAGAAAACAGATACATAGTTTCACTACCTCAGAGGCATGCCTAGATAAAGTCCTCTAGACTGCTTCTTACTTTTGAGTCCAGCTGTAAATACACAGTGAGACTGAACTGTGGTCAAAAAATAAGTTTTTGAGATCATGGTTTTGCTGCCCTGAAAAGTTTGTATTAACGTCATCAGTACTGTTAGAAGATTTGGGAGAGATAGGGCAGTTCCCTGTAACTTCATGTTAATAAGAATGGGCTTTTCTTCACTTAAATAAATGGAAACATCTTAATATATGATCACAAATGGGCAGATATAGCGTAGGCACTGCAGTGGTAATTATAGCCACTATAATTCCATTATAGTGGAATTAGCTGGATGTGGAAGCCTTCACAGTTCCTCTTTTCTGTGGGCAATAAGGTGCACACTGCTTGTCTTGCCTCAGGGCAAGTGATCTCTAAAAGGAATATGCTCCATATTTTCTCATGAATGGGAATTATTTCTTGCTTATTTCTTGAATTTTTATCTCATTTTGTACAAAATTGGCAGCCATTCCCATTGCATAGTAGCAAATGGAAGGTGATTACCGAGTGACCTCCTCCTGCCACACTAATTGGCTATGGTTAGGAACCCCCAAACTTACACCTTATTACTTAGGAGTTAATAGATCTCATTAAAAAATAATAATTTTTCTTAACATATAACAAATTTTCTTCATATTGCTTTGTTGATATATTTAATTTCTCATTTCAGGAACTACAATGTCAAAGTAACATAAAAAGATTAATACAGTTACATAAGAATGGTATAAGAAAAACATATGAGCTTGTACATTATCCAATGCAAAACTGAGGACAGAAGCCTATGATTATAAATTATAGCTAACAGTACACTGTGGAGAAAACTTTACATATAAAAGACACTGAGATCTGTTCATCCTTTCATTATTTAAGTATGAGGTGAGTTACTTTTAATATTTCATTCTGATTTATTATATTAGAAAATTTAAAGTTGGAAGCTTCTATAAAGCATGGGCTAATTAATATATGTTCACAGCACTAAGAATTAGTGATGGTTACCATACTGGTAGGTGGATTTGACTTTACAGCATTTACAAGTCTGAGCTTGCAAACATGGCTCCCAAAATATATCTCAGATATCAGATGATGTGTCAAAAACAGTTTTTACACACTGAATAACTTGAACATTTTGAGAAGTTAATTTTATAATGTATCCAATGTATTTGAAGAAAACAAATATATATTTCCTTGTAAATAGGACACTATATGCATACAAACGTTACATCCCCACTTTACTAAAGGAAAATAAAGGGATTTTAGCATATTTAAATATACTGTCTCCGATTATATGCACTTTGTCACTGTAAATTAATCTTATTTCTGCCTATTTCACTCAAGTATTCCAGGAATGTGACATTTGGCATTTAGTTAATATTCCATGGGCATTCATTCAGTAAAGGAAGATCATTCCTTTGCCCAACCTACATTCTTCATGTTTTAATTTGTGTGGATATTAAAACAAAAGTTTCTGTATTCAAATGCAATGTTTCAAAACTTATTCCTGTATGAAACAGTGGTTGTGCAGGTGCCAGCTCCTAAGTCCCTGCCACTAATTGAAGAGCTATTGGCTGTTGGCTGGAGGAAGATGAGTCACTTTGATTTCTGAGTTGGTTGCCCATGCTACAGTTGATGATTCCACATTTAAGTGCACATTGACAATTTTAACAGGCCTCAGTGAGTTATTTAAAATAGTAAACAGAGAATATGAATTTTGGAAGAAGATATATTGAGAGAGTTGGAGGAAATGGGAGGAAGGGGGTAGAGCCAATAAAATGATTAAGATACATTGTATACATCACTGAAATTTGCAAAGAATAAACTTTTTTTAAAACTTAATTACAATATCAAAGTGAAGAAAACAAAGAATTTTGGAGTAATACTCTTCTTTTTTTACATTTTTACATTTTTTCGTGGTTTTATTTTACATACCAACCAGTTTCCTCTTCCTCCCCTTCTCCCATTCCATCCCCCATCTCCATTCTACCGTCTCCCCATCCACTCCTCCATCTCCATTCAAATGGGCTAAGGGCTCCCTTTGGAATCAACAAAGCATGGCATAGCAGGTTGAAGCAGGACCAAGCTCCTCCCTGCTTCATCAAGGCTGAATAAGGCATCCCACCATAGAGATTAGGTTCCAAAGAGTCAGCTCATGTATTAGGGACAGGTCCTCGTACCACTTCTATGGGTCCCACAAAAGACCAAGCTACACAACTGTCAACCAGGTGCAGAGGATCTAGTTTAGTCTCATGCTGGTTTCCTAGCAGTCCATATAGAGTCCTTGAGTTTCTACAAGCTCAGGTCAGCTGTCTCTGTAGGTTTTCCCATACTGATCTTGATGCCCCATCCCGTGCCTTGCTCATATAATCCTTCCTCTCTTCCTCATTTCAGCTGGAATCCTGGAGCTCAGCCCAGTGCTTGGCTATGGTTCTCTGCATCGACTTCTGTTAGGTACTGGGTGAAAGTTCTATGATTAAATTAAGGTGTTCATCAATCTGATTGCAGGGGAAAGCCACTTTAGGAATCCTCTCAGCTATTGCTAGGAGTCTTAGCTGGAGTCATCCTTGTGGGTTGCTGGGAGTTTCCCTGTCACCAGGTTTCTTACTAACCCCATAATGGCCTACTCTACCAAGTTATCTCTTTCATTACTTTCCCCCTACATACTGTCCCCAACTTAACCATCCTCATTCCTCATGTTCCCATACCCACATTACCTCCACTTTCCTCTGCCCAACCCCCAGTTTACCCAGGATATTTCATCTATTTCCTTTTCACATAGAAATCCATGCAACCTTCTTAAGGTTCTCCTTGTTGCCTACCTCCTTGCTTATTATATGGGGCTGAGGATACCATGCTTATATTTCTGGATCTTGGTTACCTCACTCAGGATGATCTTTTTCTATTTCTATCCATTTGCTTGCAAATTTCATAATATTATTGTTTTATTCCACTGAGTAATAAATGCTCCATTTTGTAGATATATCACATTTTCTTGAGCAATTCTTCACTTTAGGGTCATCTAGGTTGTTTCCAGATTCAAGCTATTATGAATATAATGCTGCCATGAACATAGTTCAGCAAGTGTCCTTGTGGTATGGTTGAATAGCGTTGAGTATATGCCCAAGAATGGTATCATTGTGTCTTGAAGTAGACTGAGTCCCAGTTTCTGAAAAACCACCATAATGATTTTCAAAGTGGCTGTACAAGTTCGCACTCCCACCAACAATGTAGAAGTGTTCCCCTTACTCCACATCCTCTCCAACATAGGCTGTCATTAGCATTTTTGATCTTGGCCATTCTGACAGGTGTAAGATGGCAACTCAGAGTCATTTTGATTTGCATTTTCCTGATAGTTAAGAATATTGAATACTTCTTTAAGTTTATCTCAGCCATTCAAGATTCTTCTCTTGAAAATTCTCTGTTTAAACCTGTACTTCATTTATTTTTCTTTTTTTTCTGTACTTCATTTTTTAAATTGGATTATTTTTTTTATTTTGAAGTCTAGTTTCTTGAGTTTTTTATATATTTTGGAGATGAATCCTCTGTCAGATGTGGGATTCATGAAGCTCTTTTCTCATTCTGTGTGTTGCCATTTAGTCTTATTGATAGTATTCTTTGCCTTACAGAAACTCTTCAGTTTCAGGACATTCCATTTACTAATTGTCTGTCTCAGTGTCTGTGCTACTGGTGTTATGTTTCGAAAGTAGTTTCCTATGCCAATGCATTCTAGACTACTTCCCACTTCCTCTTCAATATGATTCAGAGTAACTGGATTTATGTTGAGGTCTTTGCTCCACTTGGACTTGAGTTTTGTGCAGGGTGATAGATATGTATCCATTGCATTCTTCGACATGCTTTCTTTTTTCCATCACATATTTTTGGCTTCTTTTTGAGAAACTACTTATTCATAAGTGTGTGGATTTATATCATGGTCTCCATTGATATGTGTCTGTTTTTATACCAGTACCAAACTGTTTTTCTATAATAGCTCTATAGTAGAGCTTGAAGTCAGGGATGCTGATACCCCCCGAAGTTCCTTTATTGTACAGGATTGTTTTAACCACCATGAATTTTTTTCCCATATGATATTGAATACTGTGGGGTTTTATTGAGGTCTATGAAGAATTGTGCTGGGATTTCGGTGGGGACTACATTGAATATGTACATTACTTTTTATAAGATTGCCATTTTTACTGTGTTGATCCTACTGGTCCCTGAGCATGGAATATCTTTACATATTCAGATTTCCACGCCAATTTATTTTCTCAACATCTTTAAATTCTAGTCATAGGTTGTTCAATTTTCATTTGGTTAGAATTACTCCCAAATATTTTATATTTTTTGTGACTATTGTAAAAGGTGATGTTTCTTCTGATTTCTTTTTCAGTCTATCATTTGTATATAGGAGAGCTACTGATTTTTTTTTAGTTAATCTTGAGTCTAGCCACATTACTGAGGGTATTTATCAGCTGTAGGAGTTCCCAGGTAGAATTTCTGGGTCACTTATGTATATTACCATATCATCTGCAAATAGTGAAAGTTTAACTTCTTCCTTTCCAATTTGTATCCCCTTGATCTTTTGTTGTCTAGCTCTAACTAGAACCTCAAATACTATAATGAATAGATATGGAGAGAGTAAACAGCCTAGTCTTGTCCCTAATTTTAGTTGAATCACTTTGACTTTTTCTTCAATTAATTTGAAGTTTACTATTGGCTTGCTGTATATTGCCTTTATTTCATTTTGGTATGTTCCTTGTATCCCTATTCTCTCCAGAACTTTTATCATGAAGGGGTGTTGCATTTTGTCAAAGGCTATTCCAGCATCTAATAAGATGATCATGTGCATTTTTCTTTCAGTTTGTTTACGGGGCAGATTATATTGACAGATTTTCATATGTTGAACCATTCCTGCATCTTAGCATGACGCTTACTTGATCATGATGAATGATTTTTTTTATGTGTTCTTGGATTTTGTTTGCCATGTTTTATTGAGTATTTTTGTATCAATGTTCATGAGTGACATTGGTCTGGAATTTTCTTTTTATGCTGCTTCTTTGTTTGGTTTTGGTATCAGAGTAAATGTGGCCTCATGAAAAGAATTTGTCAATTTTCCTTCTGTTTTAATTGTGCAGAACAATTTGAGGAGTACTGAAATTAGCTCTTCTTTAAAATACAGAATTCTGTGCTGAAAAGATATGGTCTTGGGATATTTTTGGTTTGAAGATTTTTAATGACTGTTTCTATTTTCTTAGGGGTTAGAGGTCTGTTTAAATTGATTATTTGACCTTGATTTATTTTAGTATGTATTACCAATTAAGAAAGTTGTCCATTTTGGTTAGATATTTCCAATTTTGTGGCATATAGGCTTCTAAAGTATGATCTAATGAATCTCTGGATTTCCTCAGAGTCTGTTGTTATGCCACATTTTTAATTTCTAATTTTGCAAATTTGGATATTCTTTCTCTTTCTCTTCAATAGTTTGGGGAAGGGTTGTACTATCTTGTTGATTTTCCCAAAGAACCAATTTTTTTATTGATTCTTTGTATTGCTATTTTATTTATTTTTAATTTATTTCAACCCTGAGTTTGATTATTTCCTGTTGTCTACTCTCACCAGAGAGTTTTCTTCTTCTTCTTTCTCTTCTCCTTCTCCTTCTGCTTCTGCTTCTCCTTCTCCTCCTCCTCCTCCTCCTCCTCCTCCTCCTCCTCCTCCTTCTTCTTCTTCTTCTTCTTCTGCTTCTTCTTGAGTTTTTAAATGTAAAATTTATCTAAAAAAATTGACATTTTTCTTGATGGACACCCCTTACCAAAGTTAAATCAAAATCAGAAAAAATTACAACATAAATAGACTTATAACTCATAAAGAAGTAGAAGCAGTCACTAAAAGTCTCCCAATCTAAACAAAAACAAAAACCCTAGGACCAGATGGTTTGAGTACAGAAATATACCATTCTTTCAAAGAAGAGCTAAGACCAATACTCTTCAAATTATCCCATAAAATGGGAAGAGAAGGAAATTGTCAAATTCTTTTTATTAGGAATCAGTCATACTGGTACCCAAACTATACAAAGACTCAACAAAGAAAGAGAATTATAGAACAATTTCCCTCATGAACAATAATGTAAAAATACTCCAAACAGAGAATCCTCAACAGAAGAATCTCCGATAGCTTAGAAGCACTTAAATAAATGTTCAATATCCTTAGCCAGCAAGGAAATGCAAATCAAAACTACTCTGAGATTCCATCTTATACTTGTCAGAATGGCTATGATCAAAAACACAAGTGATGGGTCATGCTGTTGAGGATATAGAGCAAGGGGAAACTCCGCCACTGTTGCTGGGAGTGCAAACCTTTACAGCCACTCTGGAAATCAATATAGTAGTTTCTCTGAAAACTGGAAATCAAACTACTTCAAGTTCTAGCTTTACTTCTTTGGAGCATATACCCAAAGGATGCTCTATTCAATCATTCCACAAAGATATTTGTCCAGTTTTGTTTATAGTAGCTCTACTTCTAGTAGTCAGAAACTGGAAACAACCAAGATATTCCAAATTGGACTAATGAAAAGATACATATACACCATGAAGTATTACTAAGTGGCTAAGAGCAATGACATCATGAAATTTGAAGGAAAATGGATGTAACTAGAAAAAAAAATCATCCCGACTGAGGTAACTCAGACCCAAAAAAGACACACACATTATGTAATCACCTATAAGTGAATACGCTGTAAAGTAAAGGATAATTATGCTACAGTCCACAGACTCAGATAGGATAGGTAACAAGGGGTGCTCAATTGTGGTTGCTCTGATCTCCATGGTAGGGAAAAATTCAGGAGATTTAGTGGGTATACTGGGGCCAGATGAGAATGGACATGATGGTTCAGGTTGGGGGTTGATTGAAGGGGAGAGTACTCAAACAGATGACTGGAAAGGGTGGCATTTTGGGGTCATGTAGAAACCTGGTGCAAGATAATCTCTCAGGAATCTAGTAAGATTGCTAGTGATAGTGGATATAGAGCCTAAATTAGCCATCTCCAGCCTATGGAATGTGCTGTGGTAAGGGTGGGGTAGAGATTGTGGGAGCATCCAACCAACATGGATCAAACCCGGAACACATGCCACGAGAGTGACATCCCTGACACTGTCGAGAGTGTCGGAACCCAGAGGCAGGATGGTCCAGAGACTTAGGATACAAGCAAACACAATTGGAGAAAAAAATGTCAACATAATGATTTCTAATGATATTCTGCTTTAGTTAATGTTTGGTGCCTACCCCAATTGTCATTAAGTAAAAACAGATGCAGAGACCCATAGCCAAAATTGGACTGAACTTGGGGAGTCCTTCTGAAGAGAGGGAGGAAGGATGTTAGGAGTCAGAAGTATCAAGGACATCACAACACACATACACACACACACACACAAACACACACACACACGGAGAGAGAGAGAGAGAGAGAGAGAGAGAGAGAGAGAGAGAGAGAGAGAGAGAGATCTAATCTGGTATCATAGGGGTTCACAAAGTCTGAACCTATAACCAGGGAGCCTCCATGGGACTGACCTGTCCAGATATGTTAGTTGTATAGCTTGGTATAATTTCAGGACTTTTAATAGTGGGAGGAGGTACTGTTTCTAATGCTTTGCCCAGCTTTTGGGAACCTATTCCTCATACTGGATTGCCTTGCCCTTTAATCAAAGGTGAGGTGCTTAGTCCTACCACAGTTATTTGAGGTTTTGTTGATATCCACAGGAGGTCTGCCCCTTTCTTAAAAGAAAGGGAGGAGGAACAGATTGGGAGGAGGGTTGTTTTAGGGAGGGAATGAAAGGAGATGAGGGAGGAGAATTGCATTTGGAATGTGAAATAATTTATAAATATAATGAAAATAAAAGGTCTGCTATAGGCAAGCCTGTAGGTACTTTCTTCATTAGTGATTGATGGGGAGTGTCCAACCTATTATAGGTACTGCCATCTCTGCATATGTTTCTGTGTTCCATAAGAAAGCAGGCTGAAAAAGACAAGATGAGGAAGCGACTAAGGAACATTTCTCTATGGCCTCTGCATCAGCTCCTGTCTCCTGGCTCCTGCCCTGTTTGAGTTCTTTCTCTGACTTCCTTCAGTGATGAACAGTTATATTGAATTGTAAGCAGAACAAACCTTTTATTTTCCAACTTGCTTTTGGTTATGGTATGTCATCATAGAAATAGCAACCCTAACTAATACAAGTCAGATCTAATTCTTTTAACCACAGTTATTACTTGCATATCTTAGTAGTAGGTGCTAAAGAAATATAAAATGAAAAGTCATTTATGAGCTTGCATTAATTGCCAAACATGGTAGAGAAATCACTAATAAACAAACTTTCTCCAAATAATCTTGCAGCAAATGAATTTTTTAATAAAATGTTCAAAGCAGTGAGCTGACAACGTTTGTCTAGGGAACACTAGCTAATGTGTAAGGTGAATTCACTTCTATTTACTAGTCAGATATCAGCAGGCTTGAAGGTCAAAGCAGATGGATCCTCCCTCATAAGCACTAGCTTATGAAGCCAGAAACTTAATGAGTAAGATTTTGACTATGGGTCAAAACAAGTCATCTAGTGATATCCATGGCCATAGGTGGAGAAATGGCCTTCTGAACTACCAGAAAGACCATCATTATTTTCTAGAGGGTTTTCTAATAAAGAACAAGACATACATTGTTCTCTCTCTTAAGACTTAATGTAAATATGCTTGTCAATCTCCTAGATAAGAAAACAATCCTCAGAAAAATTGTTCTAGAGACTGGAAAGTATTGTTAAACAATTTACCTAAAAATGTAAACTATGATTTCCCTAACCATTGTCTTTTACCATTTGATGAGGATACTTTCCCCATTATGGCCTTTCTGGGCTATTGCCCTCTTTCACCGCTGGACCATGTTCCACTTTACTCTGAATAAAATGTGCATGCTTCTCCATGATGCTGTGGGTGTCTCATCTGACTTCTTCCAATAGAAATGACAAAGACCATGTAACTGAAGAGGAACAGAGTGAGATCCCATCTACAGATCTTAGAGCATTATTGCATTTTCAACAATTATTTTCCAGAATAACTCATGGATTTAATGCAAATCTAAAAAATTCTCTGAAGAAAATTTTTCTCCTAGAACAAAGTGCTGGTTCAATATCAACAATAGAACAATTCTATATGTATACAGCTGTATGGAGAAGGACTGAATGGAAATTATTTTTTTATTAGACAAAAAGATATTTTATTAAACAAAAGTTTTTTGACTTTAACTAATATTTTAAGATTGTTGGAGTTTGCTGTATTATCCTATGTGTTAACACAGCATTCACTCAATTATTAATAAAATGAATTTAAATTTTTTTAAAAATATAATTACATCATTTCCTTCTCCCACAAATCCTTCTGATGTGTCCTTCTCTTCTCCCAGTGCTGATTTTCCTGGCCATCTTCCTTCTCCCTTCTTTGCTGCTCAGTGCAACTGCTTACCTAGTTGCTGCCATCCTTTATGGACATTAGCACCCATCCTCCTTCATCTCCATCATGGACTAAAGACCACTTCTCCTGGTGTCCTCTAGGCCTTCTGTGCTAGACTGGGACTGTGATGATCCAGCCTTACAGACTGAGAAGAAGCTGAACTCACTAGCGAAGCTTCACCAGCATGAAGACAGCCAATTTGTGCCACTATAAGAAATGTTCTTTGTAATAAGTAAAGCCAAAATGTGAGTCTTTTCCTTTGTAATTAACTTTTAGCAACACAAAGCTACATATTTGAAAACTATAGTCAAACAATTGTGTTTTGCCTTGTTATGCTTCCTGCTCTGATGATACCAAAAATAAGAGACCAGGTCAACACTCACCACTGAGTCAAACAGGAGACTGAGACAGGAGTCTCACAGCAGCTTCATAGAATTGCAAAGACCTATGTATTGACTTCACTACATTGTTTAAGAGATATTTTTATTCTGTCCTCTTCTTTATCAACATCTACAGAAATGATAATCCCAATATTGATTAAAATTTTAACTTGATAAGAAACAAATAACCATTTTATATTATTTGCAATCAATTTTGTGAAAATGTGATTTTGAATAGCACTAAAGTCCACTTTATACAAAAATGTCATTTCTATTTTATTCTCTGTTGCAATGTTTCTATTTTTGCCATGCAATATATTTACGTTGATATTCATCCCAACAAATATTATAAAAACCTACATTAGTGTACTATGGTCGACTAATAATCTACTACTGTGTAGCTAAAAAGGGTTTACAGAGAAAGGTCAAGCTGTATTTAGTATGTGTAGATTATTATATCTACACATATATATAGATGTGTGTATATATATATATATATATGTGGGCTATTGAATTATAAATATGCTGAAAGTAATCCTAGAAATACATTAATTACTAAAACTGTTTTGGGTAAAACTGGTTTCTGGACCAGTCATACATTCCTGAGGTAAACTGATCTCTGGACCAAACGTATGCTCCTGTACAATATGACCCTGACCTAAAGGTTAACTAGCTGACCATTTAATTGCTATCTCTCGGCTTCCTAAAACAATACTTTCCACAAATGTCCACTGGTATCTTTCTGTACATGTCATGATTGTGTTGTTTGTATTTAAGAAAATCAAACAACTCAAGGTCAAAGCTGTTCCACATAACTCTTCTTTGCATAGTTCAGCTGGTTGTAATGAATAATAAGAACTCCATGTGATTTATTCAGGAGTCTGGGGAGTTCAGGTACCCTATAATAGTACTGCATGCCTTTAATACCAGCACTCTAGAGGTAGAGGCAGGCAGAACTCTGTGAGTTCGAGGCCTATCCTTGTCTGATCAGTGAGATTTTTCTTTTTTTATTATTTGTTTATTTTAAAACAATCTTTTCGCATTTTTGCATACCAATCCCAGTTCCCAATCCCTCCCCTCTTCCCACTCCTCTCACCTACACTCACCCTATCCCCTACCCACTCCTCGGAGAAGGTAAGGCTTCCCATGGGGAGTCAAAAAAGTCTATCATATCACTTTGAGGCACGACAAAGGCCTTCTCCCAAGCAAGGCTTGGGAGTCCATCTGAAAGAATGGACTCCATAAAACCAGTTCATGCACTAAAGATAAACCCTGATCCCCACAGTGGCCCCACAAGACTGCCCCAGCCACACAATGGTCAGCCACATTTGGAGGGTTAGTTTGGATCTACGAAGGCTCCCCCACTGTCAGTCTAGAGTCAATGAGCTCCTACTAGCTCAGGTCAGCTGTCTATGTGGGTATCCTCATTATACTCTTGACCCTTTTGTTCATATTCTCACTCTTCCCTCTATTCGACTGAGAGCTGAGTTCAATGCTTAGCTGTTGATCTCTGCATCTGATTCTATCAGTTGCTGGAAGAAGGTTCTATGATAATAATTAAGGCAGTCATAAATCTGATTACAGGGAAAGGCCAGTACAGGCACCCTCTCCACTATTACTTTGAAACTTCGCTTAGTCTTGTAGGTTCCTGGGGATTTCCCTAGTGCCAGGTTTCTTGCTACCCTCATAATCAAAGTTCTTTAACCTTAATGGATCCCTCAATCAAGATATATCTTCCCTTGCTCTTGCTCTCTGTCCTTCCCCTTTCTTGAGCATCCCTTTCCCTCATGTTTTCCTCCTCCCTTCTGCATCCACTTTTGTCTTCCCACCCATGCTCCCAATTTTCCCAGGAAATCTTGTCTATTTTTTTTCCAGGGGGGACCACGTATATCACTCTTAGAGTTCTCCTTGGTACCTAGTTTCTTTGTGGTTATGGACTATAGGCTGGTTATCCTTTCTATCTAATAACCCAGACCCCGAAAAACAAACATAGTATGTACTCACTCATAAGTGGAAATTAGTGAGTTTCTTAATAGTTTGGGATACATGAAGAGACACTGTTTCAAAACAAGCAAACAAAAAAAACCAAATAACAAAAGCAAAAGTAAGGGAGGTGAAAAGCCATACATGGTGACATATTTCCATGGCCTGGGATGATCCCTGGGACCTGGTCTTCAGTTAGCCTAGCCAATTATTTGAGTTCCAAGTCAGGGAGACAGTATCTCCAAGGCAGACTGTGCCCAAAGAATGGCCCTTGGAATTGTTCTCTCATTTCTCTAATCATGCACACACCTACAAAGATTTACAAATGTACAACTGAACATATACACGTACACATGAGAACCAAAGGTCATTTTTAGAGCATAGCTGTGACATATGAAAAATATAAAAGTAAGGTCAGAGACTTGGTAGCCTGGAAGAGTTAGTATAAACATCTCTCACTAAAACATCTTCTCAGTTGTTTATATGGAAGTTTTGGACATTGAAATCATATAAAGGAAGCTACTAGATATTTTGAAACTCACACATGGTGGAACCCAAGTATAATTTCACTTTGAATCATCCACATGCTACAGTTAAAAGCTCCTAGATCTAATGTTCTTTCAGATCCTTAGAGAAATACATCATTAAAAGTCTGTGAAAAGAGATCAGCTAAGCTGCCATTTTCCATGGCATTAACTTGGAAAGCAGCTCATGTCCATACAACTTCACAGGCCCTGTAGATATTTTAGATTAATTTTAATGCATGCTAAATAATTGCAGACTGAAATAGCATTTTCTCATTCTTTTTTTTAATAATCTGCAAAGACATTTCTTAAAACAGAGTACCAAACTGGCATATTTCCCCAGGAAAATATTTTAATTCAGTTTTTTTAATTCAGTTTTTAACTAGGTAGATAATTGCACAATTGAAAGAGGGAACTCTCTATCAGTCAGTCATTTATAGACTAAGGCTGAATGAGCTTTAAGGATATAGGTCTTAGAACAGCTCATTTTGACTCTCTGGCTCTGAAGATAATCTTTCATATAAAACATAAACTGTTTGCCTGCATCTAAGATAAAGACTATATAGGTCAGTCGGATGAATGTCAACAGCATGTCTCATTATAGTGTGACAGCTACATTTCTTAAAAAATAAAAAGAAATCTCAAGTTATCCTTGACCTATGATTAGCAACTTGTCAAGGACACTCTCTCAACTTTCAGAAGGACACAGGGGCTGCAGAGATTTTTTTTTTTTTGTAAAAGTACCCAATTCACAATTATGAGCATTGGAGTTCAATTTCCCAGAACTCATGTAAAAGCCAGGTGGGAGAAAAAGCCTGCTTGTCAGCCCAGTATGAGGAAAGTTTGACTAGAGATCTTCAGAGCAAGATAACTGGGTTGGGTTGTTAAGGTGGGGAGCCATTGAGGAAGAGACCTGATGTCCATGTCCAGTCTCTACAAGCATATTCAATTGGTGTGCACCACACACAGGCACACATGCTTACACATGTGTACCGCCTACACATGCTACCCTATTTGTTAGATTTCTCTAGGGCAGTGGTTCCTAACCTGTGGGTTTTGATCCCTTTTGGGACTGAAGAACCCTTTCATAGGGGTCACCTAAGACCATCACAAAACACAGATATTTACGTTATGATTCATAACAGTAACAACATTATTTATGAATTAGCATCAAGAATAATTTTATGATTGGAGGTCACCACAACATGAGAAACTGTAAAAACATGTTGCAACATTAGAAAATTTGAGAACCACTGCTTTAGAACCAGTGGTCTTATTGTGCATATATACACACACACATATATAACAGATATGTATATGCATAGATAATGTATATATATTGCTTATTTATATATATATATTACATATATGTATGTAAAAAGAAGAGAATACTAAAAAGCTGTAATCGTTCCATGTTTAAGGACAAAAGCTTTAGTAGGCAATTAGTCTCTATTGGCTATCTCACACTACCTGGAAGCATGAGGAATCAAAAAGCAATTGTTCAACAGTAATCCCTGAATCTCCCTGGCATATCAAAAGGTTACTGTAGAGTCCCTAGTTTCTAGACCATGATGCTAGACCATGATGAAAGCTTAGAAATTCTGGCTTTGCTATCAGGGAAGGAATCAGCAGCCTTAGCAGGGGAATTAACTCAGAAAAAAAGAGGGAAAGCCAAGTAAACAAAGGCATTGTCCTTCTTTCTTTACTCCAATTACCTGCGCTGTTATCTTAAGTCTCCACTCTCAATTCAGACTGCTCTTCTTGGCTCAATTAAGGCAAACTGTACTTTGAAGTAAAATGCCCTACTTAGGTGATTCTAATTTGCAGAAGATGACATCCAAATCAACCAAAATATATACAAAATGGGCACAGGCATAAAGGAACACAATGTGAGTCTGGGAAAATGAGTAGCTCTTACTAGGATGCTTTATATTCAAATGATAATGTATCTATCTACTTGTACCTAGATGGTTAAGAAATATTTAAATTATATTTATCAAAGCCAAAATTTTTCTGGTTATTTGGAAAGAAAGTAGAACCCTTACATCCCCATAGAGTTGCTAGAGCAAACAGTTTATTCTCAAACTTAGGTTTAGAAGAGAGCATCTATGTTCTGTACCAGTCACCCTAATCTACCAGAGGTTTAGTGAGGCCATGGTGGTAGGCAACCAACTTTCACTGAGCTATAATGAGAGAAGGCACTCTCATGGTTGGTCCATATTTTAGAGTAGAATTCAGGTTACTTAATAGCTTTTGACACTTAATTTTGGACCTTAGTGCCATTTTTAAGAAATAAGTAAAAATCTCTTTCACAGTGTATTATCTATTCACATAAGATTAAATAAATATAGAGAATTG